AGCAATAATCTCCGTATCATACTTCTAAAAAAATCTACTATATCACTAAAACGTATTACCCTGATACCCGAAATATTATACATATCGTTTACATGTTGTATCAAAATTCGCTAAATGTTTTAAACTTTATTTGAACCGAAGTGAAAAAATCATTTCGTAGTTGAAAGTTTGCAACTACTGAACATCAATCAACCGTACAGGGTTACTACTGTCTTTAGAACTTCAGGAACATAGGGGTGTTCTTGTAACCACAAACAGTAATATGCTCTGATCACTGATATCATTCAAAGCTGTAGATAAAACCTAGTTTGATACGATACGTAGTGGAAATATTCATATACTAGTGATGATGTCACAGATCTTCAGAGTTGGACTGCGATTTTGTCCGAAACACCTTCCAGACAGACAATGCCCGAAAACAAAACAAACCAAACTTCAGTAACAGGAGGAGCAAAGGTATATTTGAATGGTAGTTGGGTTGCCGAGGAGTGAGTGAACTAAGCCTGCTAGCTGATATACGGAGAGGCGTTGGACCAAGAGCTGGTGCGGATGTGTGACCAAGTGACTGCATTTCGGTGTGTCTGCTAGGACTTGCAGAACTATATAATTCGGGGATTCATTCGTCGCCAGATTAGTGATGCGGTAAAGGATGCCTAGGTCGATGGGATAACAGTAGCTCTTTTAAAGTGAAGATTTCTGTCGTTCGAGACAGCATAACAGTCTTCGTAGACTTGAGTACGAAAAATAGATTTACCCAGGTTCCTGGTAAGTTGACTGACATAAAAATACCCTTTCTCTGTTTATGTTCATCCTCCTTATTCCTGAGTTAGTTTTCTTTGGCCCTAAGCCTTGTTTTTTTAATTAACGATCATTTAAATAAGTTTCACTAACTGGAATTGCATTAGTAAGGAGTGAAACGAAGTGAATAATTTTTTAAATAAAGTCCGACATCGGCCCTAGAAACGATCAACTAAAAAGCTAGGAGACTTGTCATATATATATTTGATTTATACTTGTCGTTTTACCTAACTGAATAAGACCATCTTTCATCAGCGGCAACTGGGAAATTTTCAGCGATGACCTTTAGAAATGAGAGATAGGTTGCTTGTATTGTTGCTACTTGGAGTAGGAGTTATCAAAGTATGTAGGTTTAACATTGGATCATAATCGGAGAACACCTTTGTGTGTAGACGAAGAGTACGATGAGGAGGAAAAGGATGACCGTGACCCACTGGAACTAATAAAACACAAACATAGTAAACGAGATCTAGATTCATTTGAGAAGACTGTTTCAAGCCCAATACCAATTGAAGAAGAAACTATCGAGGCTACATCAAGGGGCCTGTCACCTAGACTACGGGCTAGATGTAAAGATATCGGAGATGAATGTTCTTGCAAGTGAGTAGACTAATTAATAGTGTTACAACCTAGACGACTCTTATGTTTTGGCCCAAACAGCTGTGAGTGGATAAACAGCCATCCCACCAAAATGCCACGTAACTCCACGGATTTCGTGTGGTTACATCGCTGTCGTCAAACATTTTTGATGGGGCAGAATTTATGCGAATGCAAGCGACTATTATTCCATAGAGAGGACGCTAAGTTGCTGACTCCAGAGGCTGAAAACATACCTTTACTCGAGGTTCAATGATTTAATTTAGCCTACCTGTAGGAGGTTGAGGCTTACGTATTTTCATGCATTTATCTTAGTTTACTATCCTAATTATTTTTGCCTTCTATATTGTTTAACTGACAATTCTCTTGCATTTATGATATGGAAATTAAGTTTTTATCAGTGTAGTTTTCACAGTTTTCAGCTTGTATTTTCATTTACGTCTATCGTTTATTTGATTGACTAACAATTTTAGTAAATGTATTGTTAAGTTTGTTCAGATATTCCGAATTGTTACACAAATACATCACTTTTTTAAAAATAATGTCTTTTTATTACACTCAAATATTATGATATGAATTAAATTATCTTGTGTTCACTCTTAATTGCGTTTTGTACAGGGATGGATATGATATCTCTGTCAAGAAAAGTGGCTATAATTACAGGTAACTGATATTTTAATGCTACAATGGCTGGCTAAATGCCTGCTATCAACGTTTATAGGCTAAAGTAGTCTTGTTATAGCGTTAGATAACTTCATGTTACGATGCGGTGTGAATAGTGGTTTTTGAAAGTTCCGTTTCCCCACTCATGGTTACAAAGTATCCAGTAACCTTCATTCCTATCCGTCGCTTGCACTCGGTATGACCTCTGGTGACTTGAAAGTCTTGACAATCCTGTGTGATGAATAAGAGCGTGGTAACTCTTAACATGTCAGTATATAAGCAAACATACTGCTGTTCAGTCCCAGACGTCTGTCTCTGTCTTCGGTATAAATATGGCGGTAAAAATTCTTAGGATAACATTTCGCTTACATTTGTCCCATGTCCAGCTCAGACTAATGTAGCCCCTAACCCCCTGCTCTGTTGTAACGAAATTTGAGGATTACATCAAATTTCCTTTAATATGTGTTCTTCGCAATATATGGTGTGCGAATAAACTTGTTTGTGTAGTCCAACTAAGCCTGTAATACAGTGCTTCATGTCTTAAGGACGGGCAAGGAGAGAAAAATAGGTCAGGTTACACTGGTAATACTGCCTTATGGTTCACAGTTTAGTGTCTGTAATGCGTTGCAACTGGCTGAATATTTGTCTGGCATATAACAAAGCTTCGTATTGTGTTTATTAATACGTAAAGGGTGGATTCTCACCATAATGCTTAGGAATTTTCGACTATCCATAGACATGTTCGTAACTGCCTTTCATACACGTCTTCTATTCAGAACATTACAAATACAAAAACCTAAATTGGTTTAATTTTCTTTCTTATAGGAGCAAGTTCAGGAATAGGAAGAGCGACCGCTATTTTGTTTGCAAAACTGGGAGCGTGTGTTGCTTTGGTTGCTCGAGATAAGTCGCGTTTGGAAGAAACTCGACAAGCATGCATTCAAACATCTCACCCGGACGCTTATGAAAAGCACAAAGAGCCTTTTCTATGCATTGAGGCTGATTTGGCTAATACAAGTGAAGTTGAAAAAGCATATCGATCGGCTATAAACCACTTTCATCAACTTGATATATTGGTAATTTAGCTCTTAAATATACCACTGATTTTTCAGTCTGCATTTGCATGGGTAAACTTACACATAGTATCACTGACTGTCGACTTGTCGGAAATTTTTCTATTCGCGTTTACTTGTCTGGTATTAATTGTATTTAAACTATATCCTTAGGAATAATCAGATGTGGATAAGTAATTTATCATTTAAAAAACTGACAATAGGTTTCCATTACAGTATGATGAAGTTTTGACATATTTTATTATCTGCCAGTGGTATTGTACTATTTATCGATGCCTAAGGATTGTAGAAAGTTTCAAAACTGAAAACCAATCTCTACAAATATACAGATGAGAATGACCATACGTTAGTGTTCTCCAACCTTTCTGTGGTGATAAAAGAATGTTATGTGATATTAAAAAGTTTCAAGATCAAAATTGACGTTCGACTAGGTGATTTAATCAATAAATTAGATGACATGAAATGTTCAAGTTTGTATCGCACACATGGGAGACCACTTCATTTTGGTAAATTAGGTTTGAATAGACGGTTCCATCTATGTGTGCTAATGTGATATGGCAACTTGAACTGATGTACTTTCGAAGTTGTACGTTGTAGCTGACTGATTAACTGATGGTAACTTGGAACATCATTAGCCATAACTCTACCATTCACTGACTTATCGGTAATGTAAATATAATACCTGTATTCTAAGCTGTTTATACAAACGAAATCAATAGTTATGTTGAGTAGTGCAGTACAATAATCAATAACATAATTACGCAATCTGGATTAAGTTACTCATTTTATCACATTATTACAAATACCTTTTAGATTACTGGAAATCTAATTAATCCAAAGCAGATTCACATTACTAGACTGATAATTCGCTGTCAGAAAATTATAGGCAAGTATACACGCATCTAGTTTTTGCGACAGCTTTTTAATAGATTATCTTTGATGAGAGGGTACGCATCTCGCGAGAGATTTTCGACAATAATTTGTCATCCGTTACAGTTAGCTAAAAGTATCTGAGGTATCGAATGATTTTTTCACGTACACTAGTAAAATAAATAGAGTATATGAACGCTTTAATCTAATTTGAGATTACTTATTTAGTTTTTGCTTGTAGACTTCAGTAATATGATTTTGAAGTATTCTAACACCACAAAATTTAATGCCGACGTCCCGATGCATTGTAAGCCTAAGACGTGGCACAAAATTAGATACGGAAGAAATGTAAATTCAATAACTGTCTTTAGCCTATAATCATAGCAGCATTAGGATTGTCATAATCTTTAATCTGTTCATTGATTCCATGTTTGCCTATGATTTTTCTGAGTAGTTGATAAATTGGGTTAATGTCGATGTGTTTGCTGATTGCTGATTGACTTGAGTGCCAAGCTTCTAAAAATTCTCTTGTATTCTGTGTGCTAAACCGACGCTTCTATTCTCTGCATCACAGCTCCCGCGATGCGGAAGGCCTATTAGTAACGAGAAGTTTGATGAGGACTCGATGATTACTTGTTTTAACGGATAACTATGTTTATGATATTTTACGGTTTTTATTCACTCCATTCATATAACATCCAAGAAAGTGGGGCAATCAAGCAAAAATGATCCAATAGTTAAACCGAACTTTTTTGTCAACCAGGTACCTACATATTTTTGTGAACAAGTCAGCCTATCCTTTTGATTCAAGGAAATTTGGGGTTTTGAGTTCAGCTGTTTTGGGAGTGAGACAATTGCCCAGCACTGAAATTAGTTTTATTGGTTTAAGTTAAAAATGCTGATCACTGGATTCCAACTTAGTGATCTTAATATTACGTTTACCACAAGACCCAAATGTCTTTGTGGAGCTTCAGGATGTATACAGTCCCTCACTACTGCAAAATAACCTTCCGATGTTTCACGGTTAACGATGTTTTCTAGGCTGATGTTAATCCTCAACCAATAACCTTTTAAAATTTCATTGTTTGTTATCGTGCTAATTTCTAATAACTTTTATCTGCTGACAATCCAGTTATGAGATACCGTTTTGTAAAATATTTTAGGTAAATAATGCAGGAATTATGATAAGAGATACTGCAGAAACCTTTAACGCGGCTGAATATGAACATTTATTGAAAGTGAATTTAACTGCTGTAATAACATTAACTAATCTCGCTATTCCTGATCTTACTGTTACCAAAGGTTGCATCGTAAATGTATCTAGTGTTTGTGGAAAACGTTCAGTGAGTTCTAAACAGTCACTTTAATGTTGCTCATAAACTCAGTTTATGGTCCTATTGTTGTTCGTTATTGCATGTGATAATGTGTTTGTTATCTTACCATTATAACACAAATAATCAACATGAAGCTTAGCACAAATATGAATCAGCCAAATGTATTTATTATTACTACATCGACTGAGTGAGATGAAATTTACGATATGACTGATTCTGATCCATGTTATCTAACATCTTAGACCACCGATTTGGGTTAAGTTATGAATCCTTGTCAACTAGTCTGCACCTACCAACACGGCATATTCGAATTCTCTGAACTGATAACTTGTGCTGATTTGAGCACTCCTTTTTTTCATCCAACCTAGCTAAAATTGTTTACTGAAATAGTAGTTGGGGATGTGTAACTTATGCCCCATCGATCCTATCAGATTGTTGTTTCACTTGTTACACCATCAGTTTTAAATCCTCCGCCTCTGTTTTTTAAATAGTCAACACACTACACATATTCCTTTATTGCCATCAATGATAGTGAAAGACAATAAGTAGTCACAAGCTTCATATAATTTTGATACGAAACACCTGATTATCACGAGGGAAACACAAAACCACAATAAGATACAATTTGTAAATTTCAATGAGCACTACATAAAGACATTTTAGTATAAAACTGAATCCTACTATTATCGTCAAATTACTTCTAATTTTTAATGGTAACATTATTAACAATAATCAGTGAAGTAGGACTGAGCTTACAACTACTGTTTTTACAGCTTAATATTTAATTGTTATCTCTGATCACCTTATTAGTTAATGAATTATAGTTACATTCAAACGACCCACGGTTGTTAAGAACTGATCTATTGCTAGTAAATGATGTAGTCCACTAGGAGACTGCTATCTTTATGGCTTTTTTTTGGTGTTCAAAAGCTACGTGGAGATTTTACTAAAGTATGATGTAAGAGCATTAAAGTTTACTTTATGGTAATATTTCTTTTAAATTAAATTTATGTTACCTAAGAAATATGTGTTACTTTTGCTTACAGTTTCCTGGAGTAATGTCTTATTGCATTAGCAAAGCAGCATTAGATCAATTCACCCAATGCACTGCTTTAGGTAAGTAAAGTGTTCTTTTACATAAAATTCTGCATAAAAGAAGACAGACTTTTAAATAGGTATAGATAGTATTGAATAATGAAAGACTCTATTTTACTGTATAAAATGCACTTCAATAGGTAAATAATGTTACCTTTTTTACAGACTCATGTAAGATTATTGTAATTTATGTCCCTTTCTGACAGTACGATAAGTCGAATTTCAATTCTAAAACTATACATATTAACGGTTTGTGTACTACTGTCAACCGAATATCTTCGATCTTGGACTGTACTTCTAAATTGCACACACAGTTATTTGTATGACTACTATTACTTTCCTCGACGTATTTATATTTTTTGCCTAGATTGTCAGCGGTTGCACTGAGGTCATTGTAAACTATAAAATAACTGAATTATTGCCAAGTGACTGGAATGCTGTAGAATTTGCTTGAATTTAGATCCAGAGATTGTCTTTGAATACTTCTGAGTGTTTTATCAACACTATGTATTTAAACACTTTACTAGCTAGTCTTTTCACTGCATTTTAAACGATGAGGGGATAATTTACGGTAGTTCACTTTTGTATTAACAAAGAAGTACTTTACTTAGCTAATTTGTTATTTCCTTTGATTTCTTCAGATTTGGCTCCAAAAGGAATTCGAGTAAACAGTGTCAAGTAAGCAGTATCACTTTTGATGCAATGTGATAAAGGGCTATGAATATTAATGGAAGTGACAAACGAAATAGAATGAAAAGAACTAAGCATACAAAAGTTATAATTTATGTTTTGGCTGTACTTTATATGACCTAAGATTTTCTTGAAGGTTACCATAGTCTAAGAACCTTTTCAGCAGAGCACGTTGGGAACTGGTAATGTTTATGAGATCTGCAGACAAGGACACTCATTCTAGCAGCGTGATTATGAAGATCTCACTTCATTAAGCTGTTTGCTTCCATCCACCCTCAATACCTTGCAGTTACTGACTTTACTACATAAATAAACCAAACTCATAACCTCAGTAATAATACTGTCTATATGTATTCTTTTAAAGCAGCCTAATTTTTGTTGGTGCAGATACCGTATGGCAATCACTTCAGCCTTTTGAATATGGTTTGTGCAGCGTGTATATAATCGTGCAGTCGGGTTATATTATTGACCTACTCAAGATAGCTAAACATTTTTGTAAGCAATCTTGGGTAATTTCATCTCTCTGTGCTAATATGGCATGGAAACGTGAACTGATGTTCGCACATACTAGGTTGTAGTTGACTGATCGATTTATCAATCGGAAAGCACATCAAAATTCTCTACTTAAGCTGATTGAAAGTTTATTATGCTCCTTCAACCTATTCTATCGTCAATTAATATACGAAACACCCGGTTCCCGTTGACGATTGGTTAAGACAAGTGATTATTGATATTCATTCTAGAACTGTATGTTAGCCCAAAATCTATTACTTTGTTTCACTTACAAATGATTAAATCTTACATCTAATTGGTTTTTGTCCTTCTCACTTTTTACCGACATACTTAAGTTCAGTAACTGTTAATGGATTTTACTAAACTTTATAGCCCAGCAGTTATTACCACTGAACTGCATCGTCGGTCTGGAATGTCTGAAAAGGATTATGAGAAGTTTCTTTCAAGGGCTGAAGAAACACATGCTCTTGGACGAACTGGAACTGTGGAAGAAGTGGCTCAAGCAATCGCTTTCTTGTCGAGTTCTGCTTCTTCCTTTACTACTGGTCATTTGCTAATGGTTGATGGTGGTCGATCGATTATGTGTCCACGATAATGAACATTATTTTTTTTTTCAAATACTACACGCTATTTTCTAAATAAAATGGACCATTAATTCTGAGGTGTTTTGTCTTCCTCGTGACCTATGAAAGGTTAAGCATTGTAGAGGTAAAGCTGTAGCTGGTGTGTTTGCGTTTCAACCACTAAACTGCAGATTTTAGTTACACTCCACTCCGGTTTAGGCCACTATTCAGTATCACTAGCTCTCGAAGTCAAGAACCCAAATGTGAACCCGGTCAGCTGGCTAACACAATTTTTTCCCACAGATTCAATGTTGACTTATATGGAGGGTTAAATGATCCTTTTATATAGGTAGATAGTTACCTATAACGGTAATTCGAAGTGATATGCGTAGTTTTCGGCGCCTGAGACAGCCGCTTAACTATATAAGTTATAAACATATAATTAACACATCTGTAGTAGTAACGGTTAAGAATCGTTTTCATAAAGTATTGCGTATTGTTTTTAAGTTAATTTGTATTCACCTGAATTTCCCTTACAATGTTAATGTGAATACGCATACATGTTTCGACTAAAACGAACAACAATTAAAGAACTTGAGACACATTTAACATTTGGAGTCTATGTATGAGAAAACTTCGTATCCTGTAGCATTTTATTGGTACTTCACGAAATTGAGATCACGTAAAGGAGAACAGACTTTTTAGAGCTGTCTAGACAACAAAGTGTATTTGTGTAGGAGGGTACGGATACTTGTTACCTACTGAGGAAACAGCACGCGATAATAAGTTCTACAAGATCTATATATATTTCCGAAATGTAGATATTGTGGAGATATGTTTGCTAGGAAAATACAAAATAATGGCTAAGAATATTGTTATTTGAAAATTACTGGTTAATTCAATGTATATTAAGTAAAGGTAATTCAAGGTTCCTTTCTTGGCATTGCAGGAAAGCAGTTAGTATAACTTCTAGTGTAAATACTTCATATCGTGAAGTTGTTAAGGATGCTAAGTTCATCGAAATCGTGCTTCGTCTTACGAATTATATGCAGTATAAATCTGAAAATAAGCATATATTTACAAGTACTGAATCAACTTGTTAACCTCTGATACCTTGTATTGGTTGTTCGTCCCAAAGAACATTCTGTGTACGGTTTTAAGAATAAACTATTTTGCTGAATTGTAACTTAATACTCCTAATTCATGTATACGCATAATTTTTTCTGCCACTAAAACCATTAGGCGTGCAGGAAGTCTAAATCGACAAAACAATCCTGTTTCCTCAAAAAAAAAAAAACTTGACCTTATCAAATGACGGAAGGAAATTAGGATGTAGATATGTATTAGTGAAAAATAAAATCTAGTGTGAAGTTTAAAAGGTGAATAAATATGATTTTTAAGATGCAGTTGTTCTGTTATAAAAATGACTTTAATTTAGAATGCCATTGTTTTAGATCCTCCATTGTAACCAGCCCTTGCAGTAGTGTCCTGAAATAAAGGAAAAGAAATGTTTTAAAACTAACCAAATGAAATCTATATATACGTTACAAAATAGCTGGTTTATTACAAACAACAGTGAGTTAGTGAGTACACGATATTCATATTGATGAAGTTAATGTGTTACACGCTTGCGTTGTTTTTACACTGAATAAAATAACGGTGCTATCACATCTACGTCTCAAGATTAATGATAAGTAATGAAGTAACTAAGTGCTGCAGAATGTCAGTAACCAGAGAACAAGGAAAGTACGTAAACTCAAAATCGCTTATATGTATTGAGTCTCTATTTTAACTGGAACTTAGTTATTTGGGAATCTGAATTTCTTATTTTCGCGCCAAGGGTACCCCCTTGTTACCTTTTTTTCGTGTTTCCTACTTGGAAGGAACTTAAACCTCACTGGTTGGTGTGTTATTTTAAATATTTTCCAAAGACGCTTTTTATGCTGGATAAATTACTCTTGATTTAAGTGCTTCTTAATCCGTTCGCCCGGGGCTACTTTTGGATTATACAATCTTCCAATCGACCTTGGATTTCTTGTCCCAGTTAGTTCGGCTGGGCTACAAAGAACATATAAGCTGTCCTGTTGATGTGTCGCTGATTTACATTCCCTTTTCCGATATTTAGTCGTATCTTAATTACGGCATCTATACGATCAGGCTAATAGGAGGGAAAAGAATTGATAATTTCTGGTAAGGATTTAAGAAGACTTCAGTCATGTAAATTGAGACTATGGATTTTGACAAAAATAACGAAGCAAACATAATGCTTACCTCAAGCATGCAAGTGTTGCAGTGGTTTTTTCGAACTCCTTTGCTTTGGTTAAACCAAGGCGGGTAACCTGAAATAGCAGATAAATAAACTTAGTATGGAAGACAAACATTTATTGTAATTTAGAAAATAATATGGGGCTAGAAAATTGTTTAGGGAGTATATGATTTTACGAATATACTTTTGTGATTCATCCTATGAATTTCTTATATCATTTCTAGTTATACTAGACGTATAACATTGCCATAATAAGAATAGTGAATTTCAGCGCTAAATCTGAGATTGGAGTAGGTACAATAAACGAATGACGTTAAAATTCTACTTTACCATTATTTACCTGACTTTTATCAAATAAACTAATTCATGCATAAATGTACTACGATTGGAATCAGGATGTGCACACATGTTTACTAAACGTTCTACAGTTTCATGAAATGTGATATACATCGAAACTAGCCACATCACAGCAAAAGTACTGTCAGGTGAATTACTGAATAGTGGATTTAAAAAATCGAACTATTTAAGATAATTCAGTCATTATTTAAGTGATTCCAGATATTTACATAGTGAACTGTTGAGGCAAACTACGAATATCATTATTAATGTTTTTCACGAAACGTAATGTCACAAGGTTATGCAGATTGTTATATTCGCCATTAAGTTCGAATACAGTCTTCGGATAATAAGGTCTTAATTAAAGGGAAACAATACTGAATATTTCATCGGTTGCGCAAAAAAAATTTTTCATTAAGCAAAAATCCATGAAAAAATGTAGTCTCAAAAGGAATGAACAGTTTATGAAAAGTGATACGAGCAATCAAATAAACCATTGAAATTCACCATCAACGTAATCAACCATTGATCATAGAGAACGAAATGAACAGATTGAAATGTAAAGAAATTCATGTGAAAATGATACAAAATTTATGCCTGAAATTCTAACCTTGTCAGGTAGCAAAGCTAATCGAGCTGCATTGAAACCGTAACTTTTTGGACATGCACCAGGAATAAATTTATACAAAAATGTTATATTTTCCAAATCATTGGTTGACTCTGATTGTTCTTCAACCATACAAGCCTTTTATTTTATATATAAAAGTAGAAAATAAACAATTTTTAAATGTAAACAATTCCTATGATAATAATTTAATATGAAACATTGAAAGTACATGATACTTGGAAATAATATATACTGATTGTCAAGACTATTTCAACCCTGAGCATTTATAATATAGAGGAGGGAACTACTCTCACTTGTATATGTAACAATTAAGAAGAAGTTTCATGCGTGACAAATTAAAGGAAAGCAACAACAGCTAGGAGGAGAAGAGATTTGAATGGATTTCATAGTTTCAGTATAACCTGATGAAAAGTAAAAATATGAGTAAAAACGCACTGGTTTAACTTATTAAACTGTGAAACAATACAAAGAGTCGGACCAATTGATACGAGAATGTCGTGGGACAGATAAAGAACAACTAAGTAAAAGTACAAGTTATTCTAGATCTAGTAAAATAGCACAGAATAAATGTATTTTTCGCCGAGAAGTATTAGATTTCACGACTTACAACAATCAATGATGCTTATCGACTTCTCCTACATAGTTCAGGTAGACAGTGGTTTTGTGAATTGGCACATTATCTTATTTCGGACACCTCATGATAATTTCCAGCTTATTCCTAAGCACGTATTGTATGTCAAAGTTGATTGACGCTGACAACTGTAAAAACATATTACATCACTGAATAGGCATTGATTATTTTTTGAAGCTCAAAGATAAGTTACAATGTATATAAACAATTTAAATGTTGGTACAGTAAACTAAAAATATTATACTTATACACTTATAATGTGACAGGTCGATGAATGAGTAGAAAAAGATGTTACTTATGTTATTATTTATGATCAGTCATATTAGCATACTTACCATGTGACCCAGGCCAACACATAAATGGTTTACATCTTCGTCCATAATAGATCGGTTTATGTTAGCGAACTGATCTACCAAGCTATGATAGTGTGTTGAAAATAGTGTCCGAGGCCCAGAACCATTACAGAATCTTCCATTTGGTTTAGCTAAGTAAGAAATGACTGCACCTGCTAGG